CAGGGTTCTTACAATCAGGGGTTCTTACAACCAGGGGTCTTACAACCAGGGGTCCTACAACCAGGGGGTCTTACAACCAGGGGTCCTTACAACCAGGGGTTCCTACAACCAGGGGTCTTACAACCAGGGGTTCTTGGCACCAGGGTTTCTTATAACGAAAATGAAAGGATTTCAATAAAAAAAAAAAACAGCTTACCTTGTGTGTTACGTTTCTCGCGTGTGGTTCATGTGTCAATTTATGGTCGTTTACGGGTTTTACTGCAAACGGTTTTCTCTCTATATATAAGGTTTACGAAGGCTTACCCACATGCACAGACCTCGAAATACGTTTATGACAATTCTTGTGAACGAGAGCCGTTCTGTTTCACATGCAGAACAAAAGACTTCAGTTCAGGGGACTGAGGGGAGTCAGCGAAGTTTCATTGTTTTGCCCAGATAGGTTTCTTTGTGGCACTCAAGAAATGGATTCCTTGTATCTGCGATGTTAAATGTTAATTGAAAATTTGGCAAGGCACATTTACGTTGGAGTCAACTTTCCAAGTGGCGTAAATACAATGTAGGAGTTTGCTTTGTTTTTTAGTGTGTAGGCTAAAATGTAGGACTGCCACCTTAATAAACGCTCACTTCCAAATGATACGGTGTTAAAATTGTATTAGACGCTCCTATCTAATAAACGCCCTCTATGAGAATTACCCCAAATTAAGTACTAGGAATTGGCAAAAAGGAGCAAAATCACAGTCTGACCGGGGCAAACTCTGAGGAAACGACTTTTTGTTCAAAAAATCGGGAAATCTGGATTTCGATAACCTAAATTTTATCCCATTATATTGCTTCAAGTCGTCTTCTCCTCTCAGCAACCCCGTTACTGAGGGAGTAATAACGACTCGAAGAAATCGGATGAGATTCAGGCTAGGATTTCGCTGTATCATTTCTAACAGAAAAGGTAACCCTTTCGTGATTAGCCTGTTCCAGGTTTTCAGATAGTCGGGACGGCGCGAATTAAAGCGAGTAGGGAATAAAACAGCAAGGAGGTAGGGTGGGGAGACAGGGTGAAGGAACCTTTCTCCCCTCCTCTTCCTTTCTTCTGCTCAGTTCTTGTCCCTCTTTTCTCCTCTTTGCCCCTCCCTTCAGTGTCTGAACAACTCGAACAGGCTGTAAATAAATTTATTATATGGCTGAGTCTGTTTTCGCCATGCGATTGGTCAATTCGCGGTCCGTAACTTGCTATACGGTATAAAATTTCCAAGAAAATGCTCATTTCGGAGCTCTAAATCTCTTTACCTCGGAAAAAAAGGTTGAAATTAAGTTACAAGACGTCTATCAACCTTGAGGACTTAGATTTTGACTTTGTCCTTCAACATTTTAAACTGTGTTTATTTGTGAACGAAGGCGATGAAGAAACTAATTCGTAATCTTATCAAAGAGGATTCTAGTCAGTGTTTGTACACAGTTAAGAAGACGACAATTGACTGGCAGAGATTCGAAATGTTTCGCCTAAGAGAAAATGAGTAATTCCTTCGACAAATTTGATAACAAACATGCCTGCACCCGATCATCTTGACGACCTTCTTTGTCATTTGCAGTGTTTTTCTAAAGACCAACGAAAGAAAAATAGAAGCGACTCCAAGCCAGACACAATGTCCAGTTTTCAAACGACTCCAGCGTCACATTGGCGAGTGAATACTTACAGTGCTCTTAGTTTTGACCGAATATACCTAAAAATATGCCTGTAAGCCATGAGGACTGGGATGTTGACTTTGCCTTTCCAGATTTTAACTTAGCTTTGTTCGAACGAGAACGAATCTGATGTAGAAACTGAACCGTAACCTTTCCGTGGAAGAAGATATGGTCCGTGTATGCAAAATTTTAACGCAGATCACGCTTGAAAGATGAGAATGAACTGGCAGAAATTCGAGAGGTTTTCCCCCCAAAATTAACGAGCGAATCTTCTACAATGACAACAAACTTACCTTGAAAAGCTTCTTTGCCTTTTGCGGTGTTTTTTTACAAGGACCAACAGAAGAAAGATGGAAACGACTTCGAGAAAGACACAGTGCCCGGTTTCCAAAATACTCCAGCGTTACATTAAAGAGCTAAAACTTACAGCAAATTTGTTTTCACTGTCTCGGAAACGCTTTGTCGTGAGCCAATAACAACTTTCTTTTTTGACGCCTGTCAAATGACTGTCAAATCGCGCGTCCTGCACTTGTTTCCGGTCCCCGAAACTGGAAGAAGCCATATAATAAACATCTTATTAGCCTCGTTTTTTTCCATCGATTTATGGCGCACGGGCCATAAATCGGAACAATATATCATTGATCTATAATCCTGAAAAGTTTTAGTGTCGTATTGAACCCGGCCAAGCGCGATGCAAACGGATTTGTCAAGATTCTCTTACTTTCCTCGCATCTTTTGATTTCGCGACATCCTGTCCAAAAATCAAAGTTTGGTGCATGCGCAGTAACGGGATACTGTTCCTTTAAGTTTCCCTATTAAAAACCTTTTATATTTTCCCAGCCTTTCATAGNTGTTTTATTCAGTTGAAGTAACAATTTGGTACCAATGGGCTTGTTTGTACAAAAGCCGGGTAAAAACGAAGCGTATAGTTTATAAATGGAGTGGAAGAGATCGTTTGAAAGAATTAGGAGACTGAATATGAAATCGGTGAATTTCAGTCAGACATTATCAATCGTACCTTTATTGTAAGTTATTTAGCCTTAAATGAAGTATTTGGGAACAACTTTCCCGTGTCTCTTTTGATGTTTGTGAATGTACGTGCACTTGTGCTGAATGAGCACTTGAATGATCCACACCTTGACGGTAATCTGCTGAAGCATGAATTGTATGACTGTGTTGCATGAGTTGATGTCTAATCCAGTCCTGTCTTTCTTTAAGACTGCTCCAATACCTCACGGGTTAGACAGGATACCAGATATACAGGGATACCTTGTGATCAACTCTGATGGAGCAGTGCTCGCTGTGAGTGTTTGGCTGAGAAATCAAACATTTGATATACAGTACATTGGAACCCTTTCCTATGACCACCTGGGTTATATACTTAACAAATAAATACCAATAATTGTTGCCGTGTGCCTGTTCATTAGTAGATCACAGATGACATTGAAATGTGGTAAAAACAAGAGTGGCACAAGATTTGCAGATGAGTGTGTCACAAGGGAGCTGAAGCAAAGATGATGACAACAGCAGTGAAAACGTCAATAAAAATTAATTAACATCCTTTCAAACTCTATTGCATCTATTTGGATCTGCCCAGTATGTCAAATGTAGGCGACTTTTCCTAGAGTTTTAAATCTTAAGGGCTCTATCCAGGTTCAAAACAAGAAAGGAAAATTGGCTATTTGCATGTTCACATCCTCCATGAAACCTCACATTAGTAGGCTTTACGTGAAAGTTGCGCAATGAATGTCAAAGAATGTACTAAAAAGTGTCATGTACATGCAGAGCTGTTGTTTTGTGGAAAAACCATTGTTTTTTGATGTTGTGGTTGTTGAAGCTCCCTACTGATGTTTTAGCACATTTTGACATCTTCTGTGATCTATTACCTAACATACCCACAGCAACATGGAATCCCTTTTATACAATGAACAAGAAAGAAAAAACTTTTCTTGGGTGTCATCCATTTTCCGTACTCTAAAGCCTGGTTTCCATGTGATCGTCCCGATCGCCCCAGTCATTCCAAAATATTTCGAGACGATCCGGACGACTGGGGTAATTGGTAGTTTCCATATGATCGTCCCTATCGCCTCAAAGGCAAGAGGGGCGGGGTCGTCGGCGATGTCTCTGGGTCAGACAATAGAATTTTTGTGCATGTTTTGCAAACAAGCCACATAAATGGATGATTTTTATTCGTAAAGCGAACCTCGCACCTTGGTATCTGCTTTTTCTCTTGATTTTCCAGCATTGACAAGCTAGAATAGTTCCCCGAAGACATAGCATCTCTACGAAAACTTTCTTTAATTTCAAATAACCCCATACGCGCTGCGAACATTTGTGTATTATTTTTTCGGCTTCAGCGCCATGCGGGCCGAATTTATTCTCGATTACTGGAATAAAAGTGATGACTTCTGGCATGGCCTTCGATCATCCCGATCGTGTCAGTCGTCTGAGAGCGTTTCTATATGATCGCTTCAAAATTTACATGATCGTCCTGATCGTCCGGATAGAACTCAACTCTTTCCAAGCAATCGAGGTCGTCTCAGTCGTCCGGGTCGTTTGCGATCGTCTGAACATTTTTTGAGACCACTAGTACGATTGGGACGATCCGGATGATCATATGGAAACCAGGCTTAATAGATCATGGGCAAGGGTCAATTAAAGCACCTGTAATATTCACCACATTGTATTAAACAATGTACATTAATTTGAACCTCAAACAAAAAATCATAGGGACCCGCTGCCCAATCTTGAAGGGGAAATGAGTATGCTCTACAATTCCTTGACTTTTGTTTCAATAATATTATTATGGTCTCTTCAGTCCTCTGGTGACCTTGAAAACAATGAGAATATAGCAGAAGTGATAACAAAGATGCTTCAAACAGCCGCCAAAGTTCCCATATCAGGCGACAGGACACAGACATTCAAGAGAATGTCAGGTGGGTTGTTGATTGTGCTGGGGCTATTTTATCTCGCCACCTTATTGTTGAGTTAATAACTATGTAGGCAATGTTAATTAATTTAAGCCTTGGCTTTAAGTCTTAAGAGTGTCCAACGTCCATTTTCTCCTAACAATCGCAATACATAATCAAGAGAAAAGATTAGGAGAATTATTATTATTATTATACATTGTACTCACTATCTGTCTTCTCATCTCATTAACTAAGAGCCTACAGCGAATTTTGGAAATTAGTGCAACCTAGAGATTAGTCAGTTATCTGCTAGCAGATAATTGACTAATCTTTAGGTACATGCAGTGCATGATTTCCAATAACAATATCAATTTAGGTTGCTTGCAATGGTGTGTTTGTCATTATTTTCCTTAAAACAATGTCTAATAGAACAAATAATAATAGATAATAGATCCAGTTTTGGGATATCGTCGATAATTAAAGTCTCGGTAAGTGTTATTAGCCTTGGCCTTTGGCTCGGCTGATAACACTCTGACCTTGATTTTTCCAGATAAAAATCCTCATCCAATAATTGTTTAAAATTATCACCTAAGGGAAAATATTTTGATGT